AGGTGGGTCTCAAACCCACAGGCTCAGGCAATCCACTCACCTCAGCCTCCCAAGGCGCAGAATTACAGACTGAGCCACCAAGCCTGGCAATTTTTTATTATTATTATTTTAGAGACAGGGTTTTGTTCTGTTGCCCAGGATGGAGTGCAGGGGCATGATGATAGTTTATTGCAGCCTTGAACTCCTGGGATCCTTCTACCTTAGCCTCTTGAGATCCATTTCTTACAGAGCTAGATTCTCCAGGACCACCGGTTCCATTTTCCCTGTGAATAGTAATAGTGACTTGATAAGTATGAATTTATTGGTTGATTAAGGGACCAGTGTCATTCGAGGATGTGGCTGTGGTTTTCACTGAAGCAGAGTGGAAAAGAATGAGCCTTGAGCAGAGGAACCTATACAGAGAAGAGATGCTGGAAAATGCCAGGAATCTAGTCTCATTGGATGAGGACTTGTTCTCTTCCTTCATTCTTCCATTCATATATTTACTGACCCCGTACGGTGTGTCAGCCAACGCTCTATGTCTTAAAACATGTCAGTGAATGAAATAATAAAGCATGTTTTTCTTTTGTGGAGCTTACATTTTAGTGCAGGGAGATTGACAATATACAATAAGTCGCATATGTAGGTAAATTGTATATGTTAAAGGATAATAAGTGCTACATAGCTTAAAAATATGCATAATATACATAGGGCAGAATAAAGGGGATTTGAAGTGCCTGGGTATGAAGGCAACTGGCTGAATTTTTAAGTTGGGTGGTCAGGGTAGGCCTCCACGAGACGTCTAAGCAACGGCTTGATGGAGGCAAGAACGTGAGATATGTGAATCTGGTGGGAAACTGCTCCAGGCAGGGGGGAAGCCAGTGCTAAGGACCTGAGGCAGGAGCAGGCCTTGACCTTCTGAGGAAAAGCAGGGAGGCCACTGTGACTCAGCACAGAAAGCAAGGAGGAGAGTAGTAAGAGATGCCTTCTGTCACCTAGAAGTTGGAAAAGTTTAAAGTATAATACTCTCAATTTTATGTTTTATGGATTACTGGATATCACATATCATATTTTTGCTCATTTATTTAAAAACTAAACTAGACTAACCTGGGCAACATGGTGAGACCTCGTCTCTACAATAAAAAAAAAAAAATCACAAAATTAGCCCGGCGTGGTAGCGCACGCCTGTAGTTCCAGCTATTTGGAAGGCTGAGGCGGAAGGATTGCCGGAGCCCAGCAGGTTGACACTGGGGTGGCCGCGAGTGTGCCACTGTACTCCAGCCTAGACGACAGAGTGAGACTTCAACTCAAAAAAAAAAACAAAAAAAGCTAAACTAAACTAAACTAAAACTAACCAGGTACAGTGGCTCACGCCTGTATTCCCAGCACTTTGGGAGACTGAGGTGGGAAGATTGCAGGAGACCAGGAATTTGAGATCAGCCTGGGCAACATGGCGAGACCCTGTCTCTGTTTAAAACAAAAACAAAACCCAGCTGGGCATGGTGGTTCTCGCCTATAATCCCAGCACTTTGGGAGGTGGAGGCAAAAGGATTGCCTGAGTCCAGGGGTTTGAGAACAGCCTGGGCAACTTGGCAAGACCTTGTCTCTACAATAAATAAAAAAATTATCTGGGTGTCGTAGCGCTTGTCTGTAGTTCCAGCTACTTGGAAGACTGAGGCAGAAAGATCACCTGAACCCAACAGGTCAAGGCTGCAGTGGCCATGACTGTGCCACTGCACTCCAGTCTGGGTGAAAAAGTGAGATTGTGACTCAAAAAAAAAAAAAAAAACCAAAACAACCAAAAAGCCAAAAAAACAAAACCCTAAAACTGTTATTTATCTAGGTTGGCAAAATTATTCTGAATATTCCTGATTTCATGATGAAAGTCATAATTTCAGAGTTACAAATTTCTGTCAGAAGCTTTTTCAAGGCTTGTCTTAATTTGGTATAGCTATTAGTTAAATAGTTCTGATTTGTTCTCTTTGTATCTGCTTGGACCTATTTTGAACTGCTTTTATCTAATTTGAATTGGCCTTGTTTCAATCATTTTGGCTTCTAATCTAGTTTCTTCATCTATTTCAATGTAGATTCATCCATTTAAATTTGCTCTCAGCCAGCCAAACTCATTTGGTCTTGTTTTTATCTTGTTTCATCTGGCCTTGTTATTCTGTATCTTTAAGCTAATACATTTCACAGATTCTGAAAAATATATTTAAGTTGACTTAAAATAATCTGATATAAATTAATCTTTATTCTGAAACTTTGGATCCCCTTGGATCCATTTCAGGATTTAAACTGTTTTTATTCTTGACTCAATTTTCCCTTTCTCTATTTGTCACTTTTTGTTTTATTGCTGAATTATTTAAAGCAAATCTCAAATGTCATGACATACTACTTCTATTATATCACAGTGAAACTCTAATAAATAAGGAAATTTTCTTACACAACCACAGTGTCATGATCATCTTTATAAAATTATCAGTAGTGCTTCAATATCATCTAACACTTAGTCCATATTCAAATTTGCCTGATCATTTTGAAAAAGTCTTTTTGCAAATTTGAATCAGGATCCAGACAAGATTCACACATTCCATTTTCTTTTTCTTTCTTTTTTTTTTTTTTGAGTTGGAGTCTCACTTTGTCACCCAGGCTGGAGTGCAGTGGCACACTCATGGCCACTGCAGCCTCGACCTGCTGGGCTCAGGCGATCCTTCTGCCTCAGCCTTTCAAGTAGCTGGAATTACAGGCATGCACCACCATGCCCTGCTAATTTTTTAAAAATTTATTTATTATAGAGATGAGGTCTCACCAAGTTGCCCAGGCTTGGGCAACCTATGGGCTTAGGCAATCCTCTCATCTCGACCTCCCAAAGTGCTGGGATTATAGGCATGAACCACTGTACCCAGCCTTAATTAAATATTAATTTTATTTCAGGACTATAAATGAGATATAGATATAAAATATAGATTATAAAAAGGAGGCTTTGGTTCTGATGGTGCTGAGAACATCTCATTCTTCTGCCTAAGGCTCTAGTCCTTTCTTAATTAACTCTGCTCCTGTCACTCATTTACTGAAAAATATGTATAGACTATTACATGCCAGGCCTAGTTGCGGGTTCTTAAACTATATCAGTGATATATCTGGGAGAAGGGTGCTCCAGACATAGGAACTAGACAGTGCAAGGAGTCATGAGGGGAGGACAGTGTGGCTCAGATGGAGTGGATGAAGGATGAAGTAGAGGTGGGATCAGTGAGCAGCAGAATGTGGGACCTAGTGAGCCATTCTGAGGAGCTTGGCTTTTACTGTAAACATTATGGACTTTTATTATTTTTTTAAATGAAGAGTCATATGTATTATAAATGTAGAATGAGCTGGGTATAGTGGCTCACACCTGAAATCCAAGCACTTTGGGAGGCAGAGGCAAGAGGACTGCCTGAGCCTGGGGGTTCAAGACCAGCCTGGGCAACTTGGCAAAACCTCTTCTCAACAATAAATTGAAAAAGTAGCTGGGTGTGCTGGCTCATGCCTGTAGTTCCAGCTACTTGGAAAGCTGAGGCAGATGGATCACCTGAGCTCTGCAAGTCAAGGATGCAGTGGCTGTGAGCGTGCCACTGCACTCCAGCCTGGGCAATAGAGTAAAGACTCCAACTCAAGAAAAAAAAAGAAAGAACAAGAAAAAAAAAATAATTGTAGAATGAAGAAGGAAGAGGGAGAATTGGCTTTAGTCACCCGCTCCCACGCCATTCTTCCAGTCCTGATCCTGGGCAGAGCTCTTGTGGCTTAGGGATCAATTTCTTTCACATGGATGGGGTCCTGGTAAGATTGGTTTAGTAGCTCTTCTGGAGCAGCATAGCTTAGCGACTCCTCCCTCGTCTTCCTGTCCTAAGAGAGTTGGTGCAGTTGGGCTGGATGTCTGGGAATCTCCTGATCAGGATGTCTGGATGGCACCTTTGTGGCTCTAGATTGTAGTCAAAGCCTGAAGCACCCCTCCCCCTAGATTTAGTCCAAAGGCCTTATTTGGCTAGCTGTCATACTCAGAGGTATTGCATCTATGTCAGGGGGCTTAATTCTCACTTCTTTCTTTTCTTCAAAGACCTAGTCAAAGTAGCAAGAGTCTCGTTATTTACTTAGCAGCCTTTTTTTTTTTTTAAGGACAGATGTAATAGAATATAAACCTTTGACCAGGTGTGGTGGCTCATGCCTATAATCCCAGCAATTTGGGACACTGAGATGGGAGGATCATTTAAGGATGTTTAGATACTTAGGAAGGCAGCTTTATGGTCTTTGTGCCAATTAAAGATGGAAAACTAGCATTCTGCATAGGACAGAATAAATTCATGGGTGTATACGTGTTTGGTTAAAACAGTTCTTCTATTTGTTAATCAGGAAGGAGTTCAGGACCATCTGGACAACATAGTGAGACTCCATCTCTATTTTTTAAAAAAAGAATAAAGCCTTTGTATGCTAAGTAGTTCAGAGCTATCTGTGGTGTGTTTAGAGTATTTAGGAGCACATGCTTTGGCATCATGAACCCTGTTTCGTCTTTTCTTACTTTGTTACTTGGACAAGTTACTTAACCCCTCCAAACCTGTTTTCCCAACTATGAAATGTTGACAGCAGGATTAAATTTGATCTTCAAGTAAGGTCCTGCATAGCACAAAGCACAATGCTGGGTCCATAGTAAATGATACTTATTATGGGATATATTATTATTATTAATGGTAATAATAATAGTAATAGTAATAGAGCTTACAACCTAAATGGCAGGCAATAAAGACCACTTAGTAAAAGTAAATAAATAGATAAAAATGTAGACTGGCTGCAGTGGCTCATGCCTGTAATCCTGGCACTTTGGGAGGCTGAGGTGGGAGGATTGCTTGAGCCTAGTAGCTCGACACCAGCCTAGGCAACACAGCAAGACTTCATCTTTACAAAAAATAAAAAAATTAGCTGAACGCAGTGGTGCATGCCTGTAGTCCCAGCTACTTAGCAGGCTGAGGTGAGAGGATTGCTTGAGCCCCAGAAGTTGAGGCTATGGTGAGTCATGTTTGTGCCATTGCACTCCAGCCTGGGTGACAGAATGAGACCTACAGATTTTATTTGTCAAGTGAGAGAGTGAACCAGTAAAAAAGTTTTGCTGATTAGTTCACAGAAGGAGAAATATCAGGGATGTTTAGGTACTTAGGAAGGCAGCTTTATGAACTTTGTACCAGTTAAAGATGGAAGATTAGCACTCTGCACGGGACAGAATGAATCCATGAGTGTGTGTGTATGTGTTTGGTTAAAACAATCCTATTTGTTAATCAGGAAGGAGTCTTCAGTTAGGCTAATAAAGGGCCTGGCCTCTGTTCTGGCAGAGTTGTGGCAGGATTTATGGTTGTTTGTTATCTTCAGCTGGCTAGAAACAGTTGTAATCCAATTTGGATATTTCTTAGGAAAAGTGCAGCTAAATGGTAACATTTCTGCATCTGCTAACTTGTGGAAAACAGAGAAGAGCAGGTCTTAGACTGACTGGGGAGCCAAGAATGAGTGTTTAGTCTGTTGTGCCTATCTTCACCACTGATGAAGCCGCGCTTTCTGGTAGAACCTAGTGCATAGCAGCAGTCCTCTAACAAATATTTGTTTATGAATGCAGAAACACAAATGAAGGTTTCGTATGCACACTGTCTTTTTTTCTTTAATAGACTCTCCAGCCGGGCTCGGTGGCTCAGCCTGTAATCCCGTGCCTTTGGGAGGCTGAGGTGAGTGGATTGCCTGAGCCCGCGGGTTCGAGACCCGCCTGGGCAGGCAAGACCTCATCTCTACAATAAAATCAAAAAATTAGCCGGGCATGGTAGTGCGCGCCTGTAATTCCGGCTACTTGGAAGGCTGAGGCGGAAGGATCGCCGGAGCCCAGCAAGTCAAGGCTGCGGTGGCCGGGAGCGGCCACTGCACTCCAGTCTGGGCGACAGAGTGAGACTCCAACTCAAAAAAAAAAAAAAATTGACTCTCCATGTTGTCTGTGTTGGAGTGCAGTGGCTATTCACAGGCATAGTTGTAACTTTGCTGCAGCCTCAAACTCCTGGGTTCAGTGATCTTTCTGCCTCAGTCTCCTGAGTAGCAGGAACTATACACTCTTTAACCACTGTTCTATACTGCATTCTACACTGGGAGGATATCCAGACAAAGTGACTCCTACCTCAACTCATGCTTTCTTCTCAAAGGAAAAGGAAATCACAAAGAACATTCCTGTGTAGGTCATAAAGATTATTCTCACTCAGTGGAAACAAATGGTTGAGGCATTGTTTCAGTGAGATTATTGCTTAGAAGACAATTTTAGTATAATTGAAGATATTTCCAGAGCTGAGGATGCCTCTGATGTTTACTCAGAAGATTCTTTGTTGGGATAATATATATAAAAGATTCTGCTGTGGATTTTTGGATTCAAGTACAATATGACAAATGTAAAAATGAGTGGAATGCATAACCTAAATCTGATCATGTGAAAACATCAGGAATATTCTATAACATAGTCTAGAATATAAAGATCACTCTTAAAAAAGGACAATGTCCTTAAAAAACACCAATCTTATGAAAGGCAGAGAATAAAGGAGACTAAAGAAACATGACAACTAATTACAATACCCAATCCTAGACTGGATCCTGTACTGGAGAGAAAATGCTATAAAGGACATTATTGGATCAGTTGACAAAACTGAAATATATATGGTAGCTAGATAAAAGTATTATGTAAATGTAGGCCGGGCTTGATGGCTCACACCTGTAATCCCATCACTTTGGGAGGCTGATGCAGGAGGATTGTTTGAGCCCAGGAGTTCAAGACCAGCTTGAGTAACATAGTGAGACCTTGTCTCTGCAACAAGTGAAAAAATTAGCCGGGCATAGTGGTGTGTGTCTATAGTCTCAACTACTTGGGAGGCTGAGGAAGGAGATTGCTTGAGCCCAGGAGTTTGAAGCTGCAGTGAGCCATGATCATGCCATAGCACTCCAGTCTGGGTGACAGAGTATGACCCCAACTAAAAAAAAGAAAGAGTATTATGTAAATATTAAATTTTTCAAAGTTGGTAACTATACCATGGTTATGAAAGAGATAGCCCTACTTTTAGGAGATACACACTGAAGTATTTAAGGGAAAAGGCCTATGATATATGCAATTAATTCTCAAATGATTCAGAGAAAAATATATACATATAACACACATATATACATATGTAATATACAAATGTTAACAGTAGGTAATCTGGGTTAAGGGTGCACAGATTTTCTTTACATTATTCTTATTCTTGCAACTTTTCTGTATATCCAAATAGAAAGTTAAAAGAGGTTGAATGGAAATATAGGTCCTGTACAAGGAGTGAGAGTTAAGGTGTTGGCTGGAGGTAAACCCTTAAGAGACACCGGGAAACCACTCTATCCATCATATATCCACAACACTCTAGTTCTAAGAGGGATTCAGGGACAGTTTTCTAACCACTTACAGTCCCTGTGAGTGTGAAGATGGCAGAGGTCTAGCTTTTGAGAACAGAGGTGCCAAATGATGATACTCTTGAATGAGTGGTCTTTGCACCTGACTACTTCTTTCTGCAACAATGTCCTTTCATCGGCTTCTATGACACTCTCCTGTTTTATTTTTTCTACATCTCTAACCTCTACTACACCCTCTTCTACCTCATCTTTAGATTTTGGTCAGGGTTTGATCTCCAGCCCTAGCAACCATTTGAGAATAAATTGCATATCATAAGACAGGGAAGAAGTGCCTAGTCAGCCCTCCCTGTATCTACTCTGAAAACTTTCTGTCTAGCAGAGTCAAAACCAGCAGAAGTCCATTTCTGGCTCTCCTGCCCCCTGGCCTTTGGCAGTCAGCAGTTCCTCAGCCAAGATGAGCTACACAATCATCCTATTCCATGTTTCCATGCAGGAAATCAACTCTAACCAGGAGACCCCTGCCCAGGAGATCAACAGCAGCAACAACGTTCGGATGAAAACCACAGGGAGTCTGAAGCAGAAGCCCAAGGAATGGAAGGAGGCCTAAACTCTTGTTTTGGAGTACAAATGAGAGGGAGAGGTCAGTGGTTTTCTATAGCACACTCCAGTAAGCTCTCAGGGAGGCAACAGAAGATTGGAGATGTAACTCAGTCCAGCCCAGCATGCAGGCTCTGAGGAAGTAGAGTTCCTGAGAGGGTAGAAATCTCAGGATTTGGAGGAGTCATGTTTGGAGAGTGTGCACTAGATTTTAGCCAGAAGTCAAACCTGCCAGACATGAGGCAGTCACAGAGGAAAATCTGTGTGCAGGGAGTATGGGCAAAGCTTTAGCAGGAAGTCACATCTCCTCAGACATTGGAGGACACACACAGGGGAAAAGCCTTATGTCTAACGGGAATTGTGGGCACACCTTTATAGATAAGTCAGTCCTCCACAACTACCAGAGTACACACTCAGGGAAGAAGCCTTATGTGTGCAGAGAGTGTGGGTGTAGCCTTGACTGAAAGTCACACCTCATCAGACATCAGAGGACACACACACAAGAGAGGCCATTTATGTGCACGGTGTGTAGGTGGGGACTAGTGAAAAATCAGACCTCATCAAGCACCAGAGGATTCACACAGGGGATAAGTCTTATGTGTGCAGGAACTGTGGTTGAGGCTTTAGGATGCGATCATACCTTGTCATACACCAGAGGATACGTTCAGGTGAGAAGCCTTTTGTTTGCAGAGAGTGTGAGCAAGGCTTTAGTAATCAGTCAAGCCTCCTCACACACCAGAAGACACATTCAGGGGAGAAGCCTTATGTGTGTGGGGCATGTGGGCGGGGTTTTAGCCCACATGCCCCAACACATACCAGAGGACACACAGTGGGGAGAAGTCTTACACATGCATTGAGTATGGTTGAGACTTTAGCCATAAGTCAGCCCTCATCAGACACCAGAGGACACACTCAGGGAAAACCCTTAGGTGTGCAAGGAGTGAGGATGTGATTTTAGCAACAAGTCAGCCATCAGCCACACCAGTGATCATGCTCAGAGAATAAGCCTTGTTTGTGAGGTAGTGTGGGCAGAGTTCTAAGTGGGCATCACCCCTTATCACACATCAGAGGACACCCTCAGGGGAGAAGTTTTGTGTACAAGGAGTGAGAGTAAGGTGTTAGCCGGAGGTAACCCCTTAAGAGTTACTGGGGCCGGGCTCGGTGGCTTAGCCTGTAATCCCACGCCTTTGGGAGGCTGAGGTGAGTGGATTGCCTGAGCCCACGGGTTCGAGACTCGCCTGGGCAGGCGAGACCTAATCTCTACAATTAAAAAAAAAGAGTTACTGGGAAACCACTCTATCCATCATATATCTACAATACTCTAGTTCTAGGAAAGATTCACAGACAGTTTTCTAACCGTTTACAGCTCCTGTGAGTGTGAAGATGGCAGAGGTCTAGATTCTGAGAACAGAGATGCCAAGTGATGAGCCTCTTGAATGAGTGGTCTTTGCATCTACTTCTTTCTGCAATGATGTTCTTCCATTGGCTTCTATGACACTCTCCTATTTTATTTTTTTCTACATCTCTAATCTCTGCTACATCCTCTTCTATCTCACCTTTAGATTTTGGTCAGGGTTCAGTCTCCAGTCCTAGCAACCAAGGGACTCCTTAACCATGTCCCTTCCTAGATTCAAGTCTCTTTAACCACACTCTGAAAATTCTTCAGACCCAGGACTTAAACTTCATAACCACGCTGTCTTGGCCCTCCAATAACAGGGCGAATACTGCTAGCAATGCCCCATCATCAGCCTTCCAATACCAAGTTTAAGGGTTTTTAAACACAGCCCCTCCTAAATCCTCCGATCTCAGCACCCAGTCTTTAGCCACACTCTCACTCAGTCCTCTCATAATGGTTGCAAGGCCCTTTAGCTGCCTGTCTTACTCTCCCAGGGCTCAAGGGGTCCAGATTCTGACAGTTTTGCCTTACTCCCTTCTTGGCCTGGGCTGGCTCTGCCTGACACCATATGTCAGTGCATGTACCTTGGAGGGCTGTCCACTAGACCCCCTTTATTTCCTAAGATAGTATTTGCCACAGAGAGGAAGGGGAGAGACATTTGAGTAACCCCCAAAAAACTTGGGCTTGATTTTGGTGCTAGAGAGGAAGAAGAAGGAGAGAGAAAAGGAGTGACTGGTCTGGAACCCTTGTTCACTCCTTTTCACTGGAAATGGTTGATCTCCAGGGAATCTCAAGGTTAGCCTGGTTGGGGGAAGGGTTAGGAGCACCTAGAAACTGGGTTCTCCAAACTACATTTCAACTCAGGCACCACTGCCTGGTCAATCACTATAATTCTGCTCCCTTTCCCATGGCCTTAGCTAAAAGCCACAGATGGTGTGTGTGTGTGTGTGTGTGTGTGTGTGTGTGTGTGTGTGTGTGTGTGTGTGTGAAGGGGATGTTGAGCAGGAAAGGGGTGGAATATCATCATTACATGTGACTTCTAAATTGTTTCTCTCATAGAAAAATAAAAGTGGAAAAATGAACAATCGTATACCTGCTTTAAACATGAAGGGAAGAAAAAAATGTCTATTTTACATTAAAATCCACATAGACACTATAGAGACACCACACAGGCCTAGCCCAGTGAGACCACTGTCAGGTCCAGGAAACCATAGGAAGAGATGCAGAGGGGATCTCAGTCCAAGCCAGATAGCTTTGGGTGTCTTCTAGTCAGGAGTCATTCCTTTCTTTGTCTCCTTGAAAAGGGGTTGAAATCAGGTCTGCAATGGCCAATCTCTGCAGTAACAAGCCTGAGGTGTTCTAAGATCTTTAGAATGAAGTATGTGGAGAAGGAATGATGAGAAAAGAATAGCTAGATCTTTGGGCTGATGGCTTATTTCTGAGGGACGATAAGGGGTCACAGGTTCTAATGACTGCAGGGCTCCATAAGTAAAACAGATCAAAGCAGTTCCTGTTTCCCTACTGAGTTCATCTTTCAACCCACCTCTAAAGTTTCTGGCTCTGCCCATATTTAGGCAGTTGTGTGTGTGTGTGTTTCTGAGTCAGGGGTCTCACTGTTGCCCAGGCTGGAATGCAGTGGCAAGATCATGGCTCACTGAAGCCTTGATTTCCTGGGCTTAGGTGATTCTCCCATCTTAGCCTCCCAAGTAGCTAGGACTACGGGCATGCACAACCACACTTGTTTTTTTTTTTTTTTTTTGGAGAGACAATGTCTCACTATGTTGCCCAGGCTTGTCTTGAATTCCTGGTTTCAAGCGATCCCCCCACCTTGGCCTCCCAAAGTGCTGGGATTACAGGCATGAGCCACTGTGTTTGGCTAAGCAGTTTTATGTAGCCCTCCAGCTATCTTGCCCCTTTTCTTGAGCTTTGTCCCTCTGCAGACTTCTGCCTCCGTGTGCACTGAGGGAAGTTGTTCCTCAGCACAGATTTCGCCCATTGGTTCCCAAGTTGTATTTTTGAAGTGGTGCCTGCAGGATAAGAGGGCACTCACTGCAGGGGCTACTTAGCCACCTCTGCTACTTGCCTAACTTCCAGGGAATTGAGAATGGGACCTTCTAAGGTCAGTTCAAGCTGTCACTGATTCCCTGCCCTCTGCCTCCCTGAGTAGTGAGTAATGGCTCCCCTCGCTTTCCCGTAGTTGGAACATCTTAGGTCTGCATTAGGCTTTGTGGGAGTGCGCTTAACTCAATCCCAGGGTCCTGGTTTTCTGCAGCCGGCTCCTTTCCATTGTCATTCTCTCCTTTCCCCTGCTGTGTTGTCCCTCCTTTCCTATCTAGAGGGCGCCTTTCATACCCTGACTTCAGGGACACCTCTTTCTAGGCCTTGGGGTAAGGCTGGGAATTCAGGCCCCTACAGCTGGCTCCTGTGGTTCAGACGCTGGGCCCCATGGTAAATCTCTCTCCAGGAAAGGAAGAGGCAAGGGTGGACATGAGGCTGGGCATTTTTAATGAGTCTTAAAGGGATCGTGGGCTCTCAGAATCTTCAAATTCAGGATTTGTGAATCCTGGGTCACTTCTAGGGAACTGGGATAAAGGTGGACCCAGATTAGGGATCCAGGGCTGCTCAGCATTTGGGGAGGTAAATCCCACTGCTCACCCTGACCTCAGGTGATTCAAGAGCCCAGGGCTATGTTTGACTAAGAAGAGTCAGCCTGAAGGCGAGTTTGTGAAATGATGAATTCATAGGAGGAGGATGGTTAGATGAGGGTTTGAGCTTGAAGATTTCAGTTCCATGGGGGAAGACTTTGTGTGGTAGAGGCTGACAAGCAAGAAAAATTTTGAATGTTCTCCAGATAGTCCGAAGAGATATCTGTCTTTTGAAATATTCCCAAATTCCCAGGGTTTTTTTTTTTTTTTTTTTTTAACTGGAGTCTCACTTTGTCACCCAGGCTGGAGGGCAATGGCACGCTCCCGGCCA